ATAGAAACTAGATCTTGCTTTTGTTCATTTTCTGACATATTTTCTATTCTTTCTACATCTTAGTCTTCTGTTTGTTTTGAAACAGAGTGTCCCAGTAGTCCCAGCTGGCTTGGAACTTGCTGTGTAGACCAGGCTGGCCTTGATTTCACAGAGATTCGCCTGCCTCTGCCTCTCCTGTGAGTGCTGGGATTAAAGGTGTGAACGACCATACTGGGCTCATCTTAGTCTTTTTAATATGAATGACCATACCATCTCTGTTGTGACAACAATTATTTCAGAAATGTGTTTAAAATGCTGAAATCGTTGATTTCTTTCCCTCTTGGTCATTGCTATAATTTCATGATATTAGATTTGTTGTTAGCGTCAAGCAGAAAGAACCACTTAAGTGGATGCTTTCCAGTAACCTAATTTCTTCCTGCCTCTATTTTTTTCATCTGTAAAATGGTATAATAGCTGTCTTCCAGCTATGTGATCAGGTGTCTTCTCTGAAGATAACTGGGAACAGTTACCTTTCAGAAGAAATCTACAGGCGGATAGGAAAGTCACACTGATGTGAGATTCATATTTTAATTTGTTTTAAAAAAATCAACACTGGTTTAAATGGAGATCTCCAGTCTTGAAGTCACTTGCCACTGACTCCAAATCAGCTCTTTTCCCACTCCCGTGGACTCCCTAGAGCACACACTGTTGTGTCCTTGAAAGACAAGCTGTTTTTCCATAGCCCATCCAAATGCACTAAACTAAAAGGTGTTGTAATTAGGTCTTGCTACAATTTTATTTTCTCACCAAAGTACTTTTAAAAGAGACCAGCTATCTTGGAAATGCTATGCAGGCACATTTAATTGGTCTGTGAATTTCTGAGTTCAAATAAGGAACTTTCATTGAAGAGCGAACAAAAAATCATAAAGGCTACAATTAGAGCTGGTTGCCCTGAGAAAGTGCCTTTCCCTTCTTCCTTTCTCATTTTTTTTTTTCCTGGAGATCAAAGGAGGCATAATTGAGGGGAATCTTGGAAGGGGGTCGGTTCTAGCACCCTTTTGCCTGCCTATCAGAGGTAGCAGGGGGTCTGGAGTTAGTCACTCCCTAATTGAAGCAGCCCATGGGATCGAGGACCCAGAAATGAATCCTGCCGTGTTTCTACAGCCAAAATCTGGCTGAGACTTTAAAACCGTGGGATCTGGTAGAGGACCCACCCATTCTGGCATGGTGTGTGTGCCATGTGTTCGTAAAGCACATTAAATCCCGTTAGGCAGGACTCGGGGTGGAGTCCTGTGGGCGCTCAAGCACCCCTGGTGGAACTGCAGAACTGGTTTGCAGCAATCTGTTAGAGGTTAGAGCCTGAGGAGTCTGTGTCTTCGGGCCCTCTTAACTGAGGGACCTCCAAATCATTATTTTCTTAGCGTCTTTATTCTGTGCCCTGTCTTTTCAGCCGGCCTCTCTTCTGTTTATTGATGTTTGTGAACTAATTTTAGCGACTCATCAGGAGCTGCACTCAGGGTAATTGTACACCCTGAAACCTGGCAGACACAAGCTGCAGAATTTGCGGAAAGAGCCGCGTGGGTCACTATTTACAGCCTCTGTTGATAGAAACTCAGGTTCAAAGTACTGCTTTTCAATTGGAGGGGTCTTCAAGGTCTACCATGGACCAGGGAATCCAGAAAGATCCACATTAATAAGAATGTAGAGGCTGCAAAACTACGATTTTTATACCAGTGGGGTTACAGGTCCCTGAACATGATTTATTAGTGGTTGGAGGATGCTCCGGCAGGTCTTATCATCCACAGGCAAGCAGGAAGGCAGGAAGCCAACAGAAGGGCTCCTGTCGCTGCATTTTCGGTGATGCCCTTGATTATAGACACCATTGTTTCGCCTCTCCCCTCCTCCCTAGCCTACTTCCACCAGTCTCTAATTACATCTTTTAATGATCCAACCAATTAGAGCCTGCAATTCAACTTCTAGGGGAATGGATGAGAAATTAGAGGTTGGCATGCAAACTTCTGCGTGGATACATTTCTTCCAAGGTTACACACCTCTATTAAGCCAGTCGGCTATTTGAGAAGCCGCATAATGGGCGAGGCTAATAAAATCAGCACAGGGATTCTGCGGCTGCTCCCGGGTGAACGCACCGGAAGGACAAAATGTGAAGAGCAAGGTGTAGCTATGAAACCCAGGGCTGAGCTTCGCTTTTCTCTCTAAAAGCACAGTTGCAAGCCACATTTCTTAGTTAGTGTGAAATGCAGTAATTGCTTTGTCAGGGACTGGGAGAGGCAGAGAGCTTTCTTTCCACCTTCCTGACTTTGCCGGGCTGGAAACCACAGCAGCGAAGCTGGTTGCCATGGAGGACCAGAGGAGGGCACTTTGCTCTCAGATACAGCCCGAACCCTGCTGGGGGAGCCCCAGGAGATGTACAGGAGCAAGGCAGAGCGGCAGGGGTTCAAGAGGAAGTGGGTTGGAAAGAATACTAATGCTCTTCAGGAATTTGTGAGGGGAAGAGGGAGAAAGAACATCCTGGTTTCTCTCCTTGCAAGCAGAGTGTGAATTTATTATCTTGAATGATTGGTATTCTTTTGAATCAGTTCATTCCTTAAACTCTATGCCTCATCCACCCAAAGCTCAGGCACTGTGTCTTGTTCCTTTCCCATCAATTCCTTTAGCCTCTCTTGCATGCTGCCAGTGCCATTCGCCCTGGGTTGATCAAACCTGTCGGAGACTTCTTATGTGCCAGGGACAGGCTGCTAAGATGCTAGAGGTATGGTGTTGTCCGCTGGGGCCATCACAACCCGAGGATTATCCCTCTGTGACATGAGGCAGTGTGGCATGAGGTTTGTAGGTAAAGGTCCTGGGTCTAGGAGAAATCGACAGGCAGTGGGTCCTGGATCTGGTAATATTTTACCCAACGGGGACCATGAGGGAGAGAGAATTTCAGCAGAGGGAATGTCCAAACAAAGGCATAAAGGCTCCAGAGACTTCCTGAGGGGAAAGGGCAAGGGGGATGTGGGCAAGAGACAGACTGGGTGTGTGTGGGGACCTGTTGGCGGACAGGACTATACCAGTGGACCCATCTGCCAAGCTATGGAGCCTAGACTTGATGTTAGTTTGCAGGATTTCCAAGAAAATAAAGTCTTGAAAATAATCTACACATCTCACTGAAGTAGATAAGTTGCACTGCTCTTTCTTAAATTCCTCAGAGAACATCTGAGACTTAATCTGAGTTCTCATATGCTCTCAGCTATAAAATAAACTATCATCTGATCCTAGTCAAATGTTGCTCACCCTAATTTTAACACCACCCTAAAAACAGCACTGATCACAGGAGTTTCAGAAAGTAATAGGTCCTATCAGGGTGCCTTGCTCATGGGAGTCATTCAATACATATTACCTATGCATTTATACTATTGATATATAAATACATATAAAGAATATATATACCCAAAGGTTTAAGGAGAAAGCTATTTCAAAACACATATTTTCTTACATCCTCTGTGACTTTGTCAGGTGAATTTTAATTATGTTCCCCAACTCTTTTCTCTGTAATATCTTTATAACTTTCTCTTAAAGTCCAATGCTCTTTACACTACTGTACAGTGATAATATTCTTCTGAGCATTTTACTGTGCTCTATCTCTCCTCTTAATGCAAAACTAAGGTTTTTAAGATATTAAAGGAAACCTAGAGATTCCCTTGAATGCCTCTGCCTACCAAGGAACTTTGTGGCCTGTGTTTGGGCACCCCTTACCACAAGGAGCTTAGTGCCCATGAGGGATTCTAATTCTGATTTTAGATAATTTCAAGGTGCAGAAATGACTTCTGTTTCTGAGCTGAAATCTGCTTCCTGGCGTCATCCCTCAACAGCAAAGCCTCCAAGCACCCAAGTGTAGTCTGTACTGTTTCAGGTCATGAGACATAAGGTTGGACCAGTCTTGCCTAACCCTCCCTCCACCCCCAAGCTCCTTAGGGGCATCTAGGACATGGTATCTTTTTACCCTTACTTCCTAACAAACCACAAAGACCTTCTGCAAAGCATGTCTCTGGTTTGATCTGGTGTTTAAGGCAATCAATGGGGAGCATTTTCTGCTCATGTCTCACTGCACACCCAAAGTTGTGTTAATTGGCACTCGGGCACCGTCTGTCATGTCTTGTTGGTTAATTAAATTCACATTTGTTTTGAGTGTTCCTTTTACTCTGCTGTTTTTTATGCATGAGAGGATAAAAACAAATGAGGAAAACATTTTATAGTTAAATTAGTTTGAGGGAGAAAGTCCTGAATCATAACTTTTTATTGTTCTGATAGCCTTTTATTTCAGTATCTTTGTTTTCTAAGCAAAACCACAAGCCAGTTGATTGCTCTTTCCCTTCCTAGTCTTTCCTTCCTCACAGGTGTCTAACGTTGAACAGAGATGGTAATTTCTACTTGAACTAGAAGTGTAGTAACAGTAATAGTTCATATGGTTATAGAAATCCATGTTTTTCAAGAACCGTCTATGTCCACTAGCTCGATCCTATTCAAAGCCTGGTTCACCCGAGCTTTCTTTTCTTTTTCATTTTTCTGCCTCTGATACCAGAGCTTGGAACAAGGTATTCCTTATTACACAAAGAAAGGCACCATCCACATCTGAATCTAATATTCTTTAAATCATATAGCCTTTTGCCTATGGGAGTGAGATTTTGGGTATAAGTCAATTGTATTTCTGAATTAGGTTGAATAGCAAAGTGTTCATTTTCAAGTGGTTATTTAGCATCATTATGAGCAAGTGATGTTATTCACAAATGAAAGGAAAACTTAACAACTTTCCTTTGATAAATTAAAGATCTTACTTTGGAAAAACTCATATGAGTCTAAATTAGAAATTTATAAAAAACCCATTAATACAAGGATTTATGTGATCATATGGAAATGAAAATTTCTTTTATCTAAGGGCGAGACTTCAAGGGATTAAAACCAAACCATAAATTTAGACATTAGGTATCACCAAACCCATTAGGCAATTAGTAAGCACGTACTTGCATTAGCAGCTATCCCATAGGCAACCAGCTCGTGGAACTTGAGGTTTTTGTCCAGCTGCCTTCTCCATAGCCCTCTGCAGCACTAGAATTCCCAAGTAAACAAACGAAAGTCTGAGTTAGGAAAATGAACACAGGAAAAAATGTGCCCCGAAACCTAAGACAGCAAGACTCAGGCCCAGCCTCTATGTTGCTTAACTTGCGGATACAGGACACAAAAGTTAGTGGCAGTTGGTCACCCAGCAAAACAAAAGGTTATTAGCTGCTTTTCTGGAATTCCAGCTCAGTCCAAATGATGGAATCAGTAGGTTTCTGACTAGACTTCCAAAGTCTTAATAAACCCCATAGCTTTGCCTCAGCCTGCTTGTTTGTGGAGAATGTATAGGTGACAACTGTTACCTTATGCATGTAGTTTGAGTAATCCATCAATTATTCCTTATTATACAAAGAAAGGTATTCTATGTACCTACTACTAATATTCATTAAGTTGCGATGATTTCATAATACATTTTTTCTGATAAAGGCAGTTGACAATATTATTTTTCTGCATGTTTTCTCATTAACAGAAGAAAGTCAGTACTCAGCACAATGAAATGAATCTAACTAGGTCCCACTACCAATGATTGGTGTTAAAATCACCAGATTGAAACCCATGTCCTATGATTGTGATTGTGGTAGGAACTCAGATGTTTCCTGAGTGGCACTTGTCTCAACTGCCTATTTGTCTTCTGTCCATCAGAAATGGTGAGAGTTCAACATGTCATCATTTGTCCATTTTCATGGGGGTAAAGGTTGAACAAGGAGTCCAGCATCATGTAGGAGGTCTGTGGCAAAAACCCATCAAAGTGCATGTGCTGATTTTCAGTTAACCAGTGTCTTAACATGATTACTGAGAGTTTCAAAGGAAAATGCAGAACAGTTTTTTTTTTTTTTTTTTTTTTTTTGTAAAGAGCCAGATAGTAAATAATTCAGGATTGTAGAACAGTCACTGCCGGAACTACTTAATTCTGCTGTTGTTGAACTAAAACAGTCATAAGTAATATGTGAACATGTACACCAATAAACTGTATTTTCTGGCACTGTATCTGGCACATTGTGGCACTCTCTGTCGCCATTTTTAAATAGTTCAAAATTGAAACCGAGAAGGTGTGTGTGTGTGTGTGTGAATGTAGTGTATGTGCACATGTACGTGCGGGTGCATGTACCCTTGTATTCTTTCCAAGGCCAGAGGAGGGCGTTGGGTACCTTATTCTATCACTCTCTTCATAAATCCCTTGAAATAGGGTCTTATACCTAACCTGGAGTTAGGCTGGCATGCAGCAAGTCCCAGTGGTCCTCTTGTCTCTGACCCCCACCCCCCACCCCAGTGTTGGGATTATGGGCACTCAAGACTAGGCCTTTCTTTTAACATGGGTTCTAAGGATTTGAACTTAGGTTGTGAAAGAGCTACTGAGCCATCTTGCCAACCTTTAGTTGCACTGTAGTAGTAAGTCACAACACCTAGGTTTATTTAAAATATTTGTTACTTACCATACTTGTTCCTCTCACGAACGAAATAAAGTTTCGACTGACAGGTAACAGAATTAGCATGCAGTTAAAATTCAGGCATGCTGCAGATGCTCTGGCCCACGCCAATGTAGACTGTCCGTAGGTTAAAAATATAAAAAGGAGGAACAGTGAAAACAAGAAAACCTGGAAACGTGGAAGGCAGTTTCTTTTCTGAAACAATAGCAAACTGTGGCCAGCTCTACTTACACCCAGAATAATTCGCGTGTAAAAGAAGGCCTCCTCTCCTTCATACCAACAGAATGTGTCAATAAACAGATAGAGATTCACTGCCAGCCACGAGAGCTGGAGAGAATAAGAAGAGACACGATCAATGCATGGCCCACGTTACCCCCTACCCAGGATCGCTCAGGGGTTCTTCTTGTCAGATAAAATAAAGAGCTTGCCAATATTAATCAGAATTACTCCATGTATTTATTTCTTACAGATTAGTTTTTAGCAGTGCTTACAAATAGTAAGAAGTGATTAACTTTGTTAAAATCATTTTAAACACATGGGATCAACTTCAAATTATTTACTGAAAAGCACAGAATCTTCTTAGTCAACATGATTGACACTGGTGATGAGAGGAAGGGCATTTTTAAAGCACTCTAGAAAAATCCCAATTTCAAAGCTTTATTCCAAGACGTCATTTGATGAGAGAGACACACATTATGCAAATGCAATCTACTTGACTTTAAAAATAATTAAAAATGAACTCAATTGGAAAACAACTTTGCACGATTCTATAAGGGTAAATTAAATATATCTCCTGAATGTTTGCTAACAAGTTTTGGTTTTTTAGCTAAAGTAATATTTCAAGACTTTTACTGTTTCTGGACAAGTTATCCTATGAATCAGAGACTCTTTAATACAAGTTCTTAGAGTTGAATAACAAAAGTAACACTTACTACAACCACGATGGACACGCTTTCACTCAAAATCCAGCACACCATCCTGAAACTTCTCTTTGATTACCAGCAAGCTGTTCTTTTCTGCTCACCTGAATCTGGATGTTGTGTGCTTAGTAAGGGGTTCCCTACTAAATGATTTCATCCTTTTGTCTTGGGAAGCACCTACTGGGAGCAGCTCTCAAGGAATTTCTAATTAAGGATTTCATGCCAAAGGCACATCACCAAGCTGACATGCTTCGTGACCTGGGTAATACAAGGCAAGTCTCTGTCTAATGATTCTCTTCTTCAAAGATTTCGTAAGAAAAGAAAGCTCGCTTTATTAAATTGTCTGTGTGTGCTTCATAGTCCCACTCATTTTCTACATGATTGCAGTCAAGGCAATAATAAGTCCGTGTGTAAATTTGAGAAGTAACTTAACTTCTGAAGGCTGGTGCAGATTCAAGGGGTTCCGACCCCTGGTCCCTCCACCTCGCTTGTTTTTGTTTCTTTACTCCCCCTCCATCCTTTCCAAAAAAGCTCTCAAAAGAAGATATAGAGGGGCTGGAGAGATGGCTCAGTGGTTAAGAGCACTGGTTGCTCTTGCAGAGGACCGGGGTTCAATTCCCAGCACCCACATGGCAGCTAACAACCCCCCTATAACTCCAGTTTCAGGAGAATCCGATGTCCCCTTCTGGCTTCCTCGGACATTGGAAGGTACATGGCATGGGTGCACTTACACACATGCAGGCAATACACTTGTACACATAAAATAAAAATAATAAAAAAAGGAGATGTAGAGTGAGGGCTAAATAAATAAATATGAATTGGATAATCTTTCAGAATATTGTGAAAAAGATTCCAAAGTTCCCAGATAGGAAAACTCTTGTTAGATTAAAAAATGTGGTTGTGAAAACACAAAGCAAGCTTCTTTGTGTGTGGGATTGATGAGATAAAGTCTGATTCTCCCCACGATCCTACCAGGTGCACCTGGAGCATGACTTTTCATACTGGGAATCTCAGTAAGTCTGGTCATTCTCTGTTTGTTATCTGCTTAAAATTTTATTTATTATTTTTATTTTATGTGTATACGTGTATTGCCTGCATGTAGGTAAGTGCACCTGTGTCATGGTGCAATGCCCATGGAGGACAGAAGAGGCTTTCGGATCCCCTGGAACTAGAGTTCAGGACAGTTGTTAGCTGCCAGGGTTCTGGGATTCAAACCCGGGTCTTCTGCAAGAACAACCAGTGTTCTTAACCACTGAGCCATCTCTCCAGCCCCCATTCTCTGCTTTTTATGTAAGCCATAATTATTAAATGTAGTGACTATGATTCTAAGGAAGTGTTGTCCCAACTGGAGCACTTTTATGGCTAATTCTGGCCCAAATATTTCATTTAAAACGTTTAAATAATTAAAAATAGGAGATTTGAATCATTTGGTAATTACCCATGGCTTTTGTGTCTTCATAGGGCAGATTCATTTAGTTGTGCTAAGAGAATTAAAACAATTAAAAACCTAGTAAGAATAATAACTGTATTTGTTGACTTGTGTTTTCCCAGATACTTAGTTAAAAATTTTTGAATACTGTCCAATTAACCCATACATTGACTCCAAGAGGTAGATATCATGGACCCTGTTACGGAACTGTGGGGACAAGGTCATGTGACGTGAGATGCTGAAGGAGCACCCGGATGTGAGTCCAGGTCTGACTTTAGCATCTTTATTTTTAACCATTGCCCTATGTCAGTATATGGATTTGTACATGAAAACACATTTACTACAGAGATAAAAGTGGCATTTCTATATCTTGGACATATTTAAGTTGTAGGAATCCATTTATTTTAATTTATAGACTACAAGTAAGTACATTGCTCTATGTAATTAAGGACACTATTTCTACAGAATACTAGTGAACAATAAAAAAAGAATAAATAAATGCTTATGTGTGTTAATCCTGTATTTTATTTTTAAAAATATTTTATTTATTTTTATTTTATATGTATGTGTGTATCGCCTGCATGTGTATATGTGCACCCGTGTCATGCAATGACCACGGGGGTCAGAAGAAGGCATCAGATCCCCTGGAACTGGAGTTCTGGACAGTTGTTAGCTGCCATGTGGGTGCTGGGATTCAAACCCGGGTCTTCTGCAAGAACATTCAGTGTTCTTAACCCCTGAGCCATCTCTCCGGCCCTGTATTTTTTATTTTATAAATTTTGTGATGATTTGACATACTGAGGCTTAATGGCTTGAATTCATCCTCCATATTTTTGGAAAGTTGATTTTCAATATGATGTGAAGTTGGAGGTGGAGCCTACAGATAGGTGATAAAGTTATAATCAATGAATAGATCAACATCACAGGTGACGTCATGTTCCTTATAACAGGACAAATTCAGTCTCCTTCTTGAACTCCCTTTCATCCCCTCTGCCTTTCCACAATGGGCTGAGGAGGTAAGGAGGCCCTTTCCAGACGCTGGCACTTTGACCTGAGACTTCCCAGCCTCTGAAGTTGTGAGGAAATGAATTTCTGTAGCGCAAAACATATGAAGATGGACGGAGTCTTAAGGACTTGGGGGGCGGGGAGGACTTCCCTTGTTTAGAGTTATTGGCAAATTCCTAGTAATTAGGGTCAACTCCTTCTTAGTGATCACCAACAGCTTGCCCATGAGCATTCATTTATGCAAACCAACCAATCCATAGTTCATAAACCCAACTCTCTCCTTTATGAAACTCTTACACATCAAGCCAACTTTTCCTCTGTTCTAAATCAACTCAGAGATAGGTATACAGCTAGGGACCACCTATGGCCCAGAGCCTGTGGAAACTATTCAAACTCTCAGATCGTAGGCCTGCTAAGCTGTTCATGGGGCTTTGCCTGTTCCCTGTGGAAGTTACAACAAAGGCTCTTTTCTGTATTTTCTTACTCGTGCCTTTTGCCTCCTGACCACCTGCTTCGCCACCTGTGCCCCCTCCCCCATAGTACTAAGTGACAAGCAGGGCCCCATGCACTTGGAAATTGTAAATTAGAAAAATTAATTCAAGGTAGATGCCTCTGTCTCTGTCATCTTAGCACATCTGATCAAAACAAATTCCAAATATATTTTAAAGCACCTATATCTTTAAAAATCCAGGACTTTGCTATCGTCTATTGAACATTTTGATAAATAGATGAACTTTCTACTTGTCACCACACCCTGCCTGTGAGTTAACTCTTTCAAGCCTCAGTTTCCATATTCATTTAAGAGGATTAATACAATATCTACCTTATACAATAATCCCATGTCTTCCCTCACAGTCCTCTCTCTCTCTCTCTCTCTCTCTCTCTCTCTCTCACACACACACACACACACACATACACACACACACACACACTCAAACATAAACAAGGTGATGATGCATCTTTTGGAGAAATCTAAGATATGACATCAAAAAATTAATAAATTTACTTCTCTTTAGAAAAAGACATAATTTAGAAATAATTTTTCTGTGTAGAAATGTATAAAGTCATAGGCGTTTTGGCAGCATTTGCTTGAGATTAGAATGTAGGTTTAGCATTTTTGGTAACTTCTTTAATAATATAAAGCAATAAAAAGATGTAAAGTCTTGGGACTGGAGAGATGGCTCAGCAGTTAAGAGCACTTGGTGTTCTTGAGGAGATCTGGATTCATTTCCTGGAACCCACATGGAGGCTTACAGCTCCAGCTCCATAGTATGTTAAAACCTGAACTCCACAGATTCCTGCATGTATGTGGTGCAGGTCTACTCATGCAGTCACACAAACATTTACATAAATTAATAGATGAATAATAAATTTTAAAAACTTTTTAAAAGGTGCGAAGCTTTAATATTCATTATATTCATTTTTAAGCCAATAATCTTCCATGATTTGTTACTTCAGAAATGTTTAGGATTTACATATCTTAGAGGCTTATTTAGTTGAGTTAATAAAAGTTCATTCAGAAGGAATGCATCTGGAATTTTGCATTATCTTTTGTTCTAGATTCAATGAGTGTGAGGAAGAGTTGGAATTCCCCAGCTTCCTATGCTCTTTACACAACATCACAATTAAGAGACGCACACCATTGATGGTGGTGAACATAGCTGCCTTCCAAGGGACATATATCGCTTGCTTAGTTTCCTCTTGAATGGTCCCTACAAGCCACAGATGAAAGGCTTGGTTGCCTGTGGCACTATTAGGAAGTGACACCGTCTTTAGGATATAGAGCTTAGGCAGAAGTTCAGCCACTGGTTTCAGGCCCAAGCTGTAGTGCCAAGTCACCATGGATTGAAACCTCAGAAATACCTTTACCTTAGGTATTTTGTCACAGTGACAGAAACCTGCGTAACATATGTAAGAATAGTTTACAGTCACTTCTTTTTGTTATTGCAGGATTTCTAACACTACAGTAAATGTAAATGAAAGATTTATATTTAAGACTTGCTCTTTACTTACTCATCCTTATTTCTAAAATGTGCCTCATCTATTCCTCATTTTGAATATGTAATGGACGTTGTGTTAAAGTATAGCTATTATTCTCTTATGGCATACAAAAATGGTTAGTGCTTATATTATGAAAGTATAATTCATGATTTAACTTTAGGATTTTCTTCATAGAATTCATTTTTATAGAAGTTGCAATGATTTTAGTTCACTTAAAGAATCATAAGCAGATTTTAAATTATATTCAGTTTCATTCAGAATTCAACAATTTTGTGAAATTAATGGAAATACATTTTCAAGTTTTTTCATATTGAAGGATAATCTGATTACACCATTGGATTGGCTTGTACTATTAGAATCAGACCTTATAAAACACAAGCCATCATGTCTAGCATCACATGTCAAAGTACAGTTCAACCTATGAATCTTTCACAGAAACAGCCAAGTTAAATGAGACATAAAGTTTCCCTCATTATTTCTCAGTCCATCTGCCAAAAGGTTGAGGGCACTTGCATGCCCCAAAGTGGGGCCGTGGTTCTTACTTCATAGAAGAAATTTGTATAGATCACAGTTTAAATCAAGTCTGTGAATCATTTTCAAGGAATTTGGGACAAAGTTAATGGTGTTGTAGTTAAACAGGAAGGAAGTTGGACAATCTAGGAAA